TCTTTTTTTCACAATAATTGTTGAGATTGATTTATTAAATTTTATTATGTTACGACTAGTGTCCGGCGTGACCAACTTTTTTGGTCACGGTCACGTCACGGTCACGAGGGGTTGATCACGGTCACGGTAACGGTCACGGGCTGGGCTCACCGTGACCGTGACCGTGAGTCACGGCCCTTCTTTCTGGTTTCTCAACATGAAAAAAACCTTTCCAGAAAGAGCAATTGCAAAGCTTCCCTAGGGAAAATCTTTGATGTTTCCGTACCAGGTTCTTTATGGATTCAGTCAGCATCTTTCCAGAATTCACTCTTTTTTCCTGAGGAAACGATGAAATCCTGAAAGAAGTGTGTAGCCACGGAATTTCAAGATCCCAGCAGGATTCGAAAAAGGATTACATCAGGACCCTGACCAGGTTACCATTGTTGTTTAACCTGGAATAATTTAGAAAACAAGATGTGGTTGTGGGTATGAACAGAAGTTCTACTTGTATTAACTGACAAGAACAGTCACTGATATGCTCTCTTGTTGACTTTTTGTTGCGACGCTCCTCAGTTTTAGCTGCAAAAGTTGACTGGATCCTTGTATCAAGATCCGCATCAGATCTTGTCTAAAATTTGATAAAATCTTGAGAGAATCCTCTCCATTATCCCTGTTAGGATCCTAAGCAGGATCATGAATGAATCCTTGAAGGATCTTGTATTCATTATCTACAAACACATCTGGTCAGATACGGAAAGAAATCCTAAGCAGGATCCTGTATAACTGTGAGAATTCCCGGCAGCAGGAATTATCAGGAATTGAGCCGGGATCCGGAGAAAAACTTGATAAGATCTTGGAGATTTAGAATCCTGACAGATCCTTGCAAAATTTCTAAAGGAATGAACAGGATTGAGACTAGGGTTCTGTTTGCTATTAAAAGTGATGATCGGAGGAGGATAGCTTCGCGTAGGTGTCCGTGCTTCCCCTCAGGAGTTTCCAAAATCACGAATACTAGAAACTTCCAAATTATTCATAAAAACTGATGAGCGGGTGGGAGACGGTAGCTTCGCGAAGGTCCCCTTACTCCCCCTCAGAGTTTTCCAAAATTTCGAGAAAGTTCCCGTGACTGACCGTGACCAAGCTCCAGTCACGGTCACGATCTTTAAAAAAAGTCACGCACGGTCACGGCCGTGACCGTGACCGTGACTCACTGATAGTCACGGCAGTCACGCCGGTCACTAGTTACGACAAATCAAGACGGTGTATTTCTGTTATTACCTGCTATTTTATATAGATTATTGGTCAAATATCGATGTACAGCTGGCACAGCACGACGAATTACCACGACGAGAGAAAAGAGTCTATTGGTCCAAAGAACAACCAATCAGAAAATAGAAAAACGAAAAACATTACAATGGAGGCTGATAGTTTGGAAATGGCCGCCCTTCGCAACCGATCTTTAATGAAAACGATCGCCCGATTGCACAGATATTTTTTACAACTTCTCGCCGCCCCCCCCCCCCCCTGCTACTAATGAACAGACGACCATTGGGTCAAAAATTGGAACAATCGTTGAAAAATGTGTGGTTGGAGTATTTCAACGCCTACTTACTCCCTTCATAAGTATCGCCCGAAGATAAGTTATATATCAATCAATCCAGAATTTAATTCTGCATCAGAAGATGTTCTTGTTATTGACGGGCGATACTCATGAACAAAGAACCATTGGGTCCAAAAATTGGAACGATCGTTCAAAAATGTGGAGTTGGAGTATTTCAACGACAACTTTCTCTCTTCGTGAGTATCGCCCAAAGATAAGTTATATATCATTCGATGCAGAATTAAATTCTGCATCAGATGATGTTCTTCTTATTTCCGGATGATACTCATGAACAAAGAACCATTGGGTCCAAAAATTGGAACCATGGTTGAAAAATATGCAGTTAGAGTATTTCGACGTCTAGTTATTCTCTTTGTGAGTATCGCTCGGAAATAAGAAGAACATCTTCTGATGCAGAATTTAATTCTGCATCGAAGGATGTATAACTTATCTACGGGCGATACTTAGGAGGAGAGTCACTTGGCGTTGAAATAGTCCAACTGTAGATTTTTTCAACCATTGTTCCAATTTTTTGTGGTGCAATCGTTCTCGTTTGATTAATATCAGGGGGGGAGGGTAGGGAAGCAGAAGGAGAAAAAGAACATCTATGCAATGAGGCGATTCTTTTCATGAAAATTGGGTTGGAAAGAGTGGCCATTTGGAAATTACCAGCCTCCAATGTGATGTTTTTTGTTTTTTTATTTTCTGATTGGTCGTTCATTGGACGAATAGACTTTTTTCTCTCGTCGTGGTAATTCGTCGTGTTGTGCTAGCTTCATATCGATAATCTTGTACCCTGTTTGTGGTGATGGAGGTTGTATTTTTTAGGATTTTCTGGATTTAGTCGTGGTCAGAAAGTTGAGAGAAGATGATGGAAGAAAAAATAAAGTAATTTTTGTGCTGGTAACTAAGGAAATTACTCTTGATATTTTATGGATACCTCTTGGTATTCTATGGATGGATTCCTATTGGTCGGTTGTATCTCGAATCGGATTGGTCGTCGTGCTAGCTTCACATCGATCGAAACAACCTATCACAGAAAGTCCAACGTTATGAACAGCATACTAATAATGTGTATTGGCACGTTTTTTCTCGTGGCCACTTGTATGACTACACACTATACAAGATCTTTGTGTCATTTTTTCTGTTGTCAGGGATGTAGTGCGCACCCCCCCACTTTTAGAAAATTTTCGCTTTTTCTCAGCAAAAATCGTTAATTTTATTGAAAAAAGATCGTAAGATGGAAAAATAAAGAAGTACACTCCCCACTTTTTAAAATTTCATAAATGCGTTATCTCATGTTCAAAAATTTATTCAATACACCTTCAACTTTTTAGAAAATTTCTCTCGCACTCCCCCACTTTTTTCTCTTCGCCACATCCCTGCCTGTTGCTGTTACTAAAACTAGAGATGAAAAATAACGTGCAGTCAAGCGTATGGGATTATCGCCAATAGTTGGACGACCAATTGAATCTTTGAGCTAAGTACATCTTTTAATCAGAAATAGAAGATATACCTGTGACGATTTTTGATAGAAGTGTTAGCGCTGGTGGAACTACGCTTTATTATTTGTCTTTCTATCTAGAATCGCATCGTTTTCATATAAAACTCATGCTTATATACTCGGCCATCAGAGAGGAGAAGAGAATACGAAGGATGATAAAGATAAATATGGATAAAGTACATGATGTACTAAATAATGACAAAAATACACTTAAGCCGGAACGTTACAATACCAATTCAGGCTCATCCGAAACAAGCTGATCTCCAAATCGTATGAGTTGGAACCGGAGCTGGTGACCAGCTCCTTATCTCAATTCCCCACACTTTCTATATGAAATATTACCCTATAGACACTGGTCATGTTGAATTTTCATGAAAATCAGCTTGACGATAATATCAAAGAGTGTCTCAAAAACTCTGAATATATAACAAATCTGGATTGTTTCTTTTTTCCTCAGTAACCAATGACACATGTAATCGATTTTCGAAAAAGAAATTTAATATCTAGCTTGAATATATAGGAAGATGGGTGGGTGAATGAAGATCTTTTGTTATCTTTTGTTTGAATATATTTCTTACTTTGAAAAGAATATCTAAAAACAAATAGATAACAATGGTTTAAAAAAAAGAAATATTATCTAAAACTTGTTATTTTTGTTTTCGTTACTTCAACTAAATAATGGTGTCATTGGGAGCTACCATTACAATTGATTGTGAAAATGTTATTGGTGATTTAAAACATATTTGGACATCAATTGGTTTTGATGAAATCAATTGGTCGTATACTGAACGAGGAAAAAATTTACTTAAAATCTTAAAGAGTATGTTAAGTTCTTCATCATTTTTAAAGCTTTTTCTATTTAGAATATTTTTCAAACATGAATTCAAATTCTTGTTTATTTTGTTTAACGAATAAATAGATGAAGTTATAAGAAGACCATATTATATACGAAATCATAATGCATTTACAAGTGGAAATTGTCTTAGTTCTCCAGCTCATGGATCAACAAATATTTATACTGAAGATGATCATGGAAATCCAATATATAATTTTGATATTCTTGATCAAATTTATGATAATTACCTTGCAAATAATTTCATTCCATTTGTTGAATTTGATTTTATGCCGTTTGATTTAGTTTCAAAGTCAAGTGAACAACAAGATTATGATTTAAATGGATGGAAATATCCACCAAAAGATTATAATAAATGGATAAATTTAATTCAAACATTTATTAAACATTTATATGAACGATATGATAAACAAATTGAAAATTGGTATTTTGAAGTATGGAATGAACCAAATATCGATCATTATTGGTTAGGATCATTTGAAGATTATTGTAAATTATATGATTATTCCGTTGAAGCTCTAAAATCTATTAATCCAAATTTAAAAATTGGTGGACCAGCATTAGCAACAAATGAATCAAGTGGAGAGTTTTTAAATAGATTTTTAGAACATATTACCAATGGAATAAATTATGCAACGAAACAAATTGGAACATCAATTGATTTTATTTCATTTCATACAAAAGGTTAATAGACAAATTCATTTTGTAACTAATACAGATGTAAATAAGATTTTCTCTTTATACGTTTGAGAAGTTTGGTTTTTTTTCTTTTTAGGTGCATATTTTAATCCTCTTCGTTCTTATGGTCATAAAGTTGAATTTGAATATCCAAGTATAAGACGTATCATCGATGATACTGTAACTAATTTGACGATTATTAATCGATTTCCAAAATTAAATAATATATCAATATTTATTGATGAATGTGATCCAACTGTTGGTGCTATTTATGGAATATATGATAATCCAAATTTTATTGTATGTAATACAGAATATTATCCATCAATGATTGCTGAAATGATTTATAATATATTGTCTATATCACCAAGAATTCATTTAATGACAAGTTCATTATTTTATATGGAAGGGAAAAGATTATTTGAAGGTAATCGAACATTCGTAACTAATTATAATTTATATTTACC